GGATTGGCAATAGATGTTAGCTCAGGGCCGGTCTTCCTCAGCAAAAAGAGGAGGATTAGCACGGATGTTAGCTCAGGGCTGACCTTCCTCAAAAAAAAAAAAAAAAAAAGCTTATGGACCCATCGAGTGATGAATGGATAAATAAAATGTGGTATATCTATACAATGTAATATTATATGGCAATAAAAAGGAATGAAGTATGGACACATGCTACAGCATGGATGAACTTGAAAACACGCTAAGTGAAAGAAGCCTGTCACAAAAGACCACATACAATATGATGGCCTTTATATGCAACGTCCAGAATAGGTAAATCTATAGAGACAGATTAGCAGTTGCCTAGGGCTAGGGGACAGAGGGGGAGAAATGGAGAGTGACTACTCAGGGGTATGGGATTTCTTGTGGGGATGATGACGTTCTAAACTTAGATCATGGTGATAGTCGCATAACTCTGTGAATATACCGAAGCCATTGAACTGTACACTTTAAGTGGATAAGTTTTATGGTATGTGAGTTATATCTCAATACAGATCTTAAAAAAAAATACTTAGGGGCCGGCCCAGTGGCATAGTGGTTAAGTTCACACACTCCACTTCGGCGGCCCAGGGTTCAGGGGTTCAGATCCCAGGCGCGGACCTACACACTGCTTGTCAAGCCATGCTGTGGCAGTGTCCCATATACAAAGTAGAGGAAGACTGGCACAGGTGTTAGCTCAGGGACCATCTTTCTCAAGCAAAAAAGAGGAAGACTGGCAAGAGATGTTAGCTCAGGACCAATCTTCCTCATAAAGAAAAAAAAAAACATAAAGGGGTCAAAACCTCAACCTACCAAAGGAAAGGATAGTTCCAGACCCACACTCTAGAAATACTCACAGGGATTAGCTCCATCAGTTACAATTAACATCCGGAGGGAACTCAAGCTCACGTCTCTTTGGTCCCGATGGGCCATCATAGCCCAGTGCAAGTCTCGACATTTCACTAAAGCTACCTTGGCTATAAATTCAAAAGGAATAAAGTTAACACAGACATACACCCTAAATTTGGTAGATATTTAATATACTATAATAAAAACATTTTTACTTATTTTAGAGATCATCATTTTCACTAAGAGAAAATAAAAAATGTTTCAAAGAAATTGTGCCAGGTGCTCTGAGGCAGCAGCGACTGACTGGACACACAATTGTTTTGCTCACTGTGACCTGTAGGTAGGCTACATATCCCAGCCCAGGAAGCTTTGAACCCCAAAGCACCCAAAAAATCTAATTCAGGGCTCAGATTCAGGCAAATTCATCTCAATTCTTAAGAAAGGACATCAAGTGAGATGAAATAGACAACATACCTAATTTTATAGTAACTGAACTCTAAAATTCATCAAGCCACCTAGGCATAGAATTATGTCTCTGGAAGAGAAATTTGAAAATCCCTGAAATCTTGGTTCCAACAGTCACATAACGGAAGCTTAGATGCTGTGTGTAACTACCTTTGTGGGCATGTACTCTTTGGACCCAAGAGAGAGGGCAAGTCTTCATAACAGAGTAGGGTACGCTAATTGTATGCATCTTACTCATCACATTCTGAAAAGCAAAGAAAGATAAAAAGTAACCAACACCTAATACATACTTAGCATTTTAAAATTGAACTGATATTTTGTTAACGATTTTAATCATACAAGTAATACTCAAATACATGCTCTTTAAAAAAAATCTGAAATATTAACTTTCAAGTTGAAGTCTCCTCTGCTACCTACCCTCAAATCTGGTTCCCTCCGCTCCTCCTCAGAGATAATCACTGTTATGAATCTGGCATGTGTCCCTCCAGTCCTTTTTCTATGTATTTACATACGTATTTGTCCCCATAGAAATGTAAAAGTATTTTTAAGATAAAAGACATCATATTACACATATATCTGCAACTTGCTTTTTTTCACTTAAATTGTTTTAGAGCCAAATCTATGCACATCAGTATAAGAGATCTACATAATTCTTTTGAACCGCTGCATAGTATTCCATAGTATGACTATACCTCAATTTATTTAGGCATTTCTTTATTACTGACCATTTTTTCGCTATTACAAACAATGTTTCAAGGAACACCTTTATACGCACTTCCCTCGGCACGTGTGCAAGTGTTTCTCCAGGGTAGACAGAGAAAAGTGGTAATGCTGGGCCTTACGATATATGCTTTTTAAATTGAGCAGATACCGCCAAACTGCCCTCCAACCCACCAAGTGCCTTCACCATGCTCATGTTCACCACATACCACAAAGGCTTGGGTATTACAAAGCAAGAAATCAAAGTTTCCCTGTTGCTTACAGGAGATCCTGCCCAGACCTGTTAGGCATTTGGGTAGATAAAGCCGAGGGAGCTGAGGGAGTCACGCAATCTGGTATCTCTCCTGCCACCCAAACCAAACATACCCAGGACTTCCTGTCTCCAAAGAGACTCAGCCCGGCAGAGAAACTAAGTCTTGGTATTTAGACTGGCCATTTTGTTCACCACCTAAGTGGCCCAAACAAACCAAGATACCATTATAAACCTCTTTTTCCTCCCCAACCCAAGTTTTCCAGCTATGATGACAAACGTTTGTATTTCAGGTAAAGAAGAGTTTTTATAACTAATTCTTCACACATGTCCCTATCTCGTTCTTTGTATCACAAGGAGAAGATCCCCCTAACTTCTCACAAGGGTTTTTTAACCTCTGATAAAAAACAAAATGGGAAGGGCTTCAGAAAAGAGCCATAAAGTATGTATACTCAAGGAATGAGGCCCTTACTAATTTGAGGGGTCCTGGGTGAAAAGGGACCCTCCTCCTCTTCCCCCATGCTTCATTTTCTACTCCTTCTCGGACTCCTGCAATGCGTAAGGAAGGTGAATGAGATCCTCTCAAAGGTCCTTTCTAATTCTAGAATCTGTCTCTCTTCTCTCTCCCCACTCCCAATCAGCTTGCTACATATGATAGCTTTTCTCACTTGAAATGTCCCCTCTCTCTACCTCCACCTCAAAAATATCTCTGAAAAATGGATAAAATTTAGCCATATAAAGTCCAACTCAGCTGTCACCTCTTCCATAAAAATGGCCTTGATGCCAGAGCTGAGAGGAACTCATCTTCTGTTTCCTCTATTACAGAAAGTAGCCTGATCTCCCTTGTTACTCTATTCTTTAACTGCAGCATGCAGTCGTTCTATACATTTTGTCCCATGGAAAGGCTAGATGTTATTAACCACAGTTGCCAAGTTCTAAATATATGTATGTAATCCTTCCTTCAGAAAAGAGAAGAGGAAAATCTCAAACATACTTTTTTAATCATAAATAAATGTATAGTCATTTGTAGAATCTTTTAGGCTTTGAGCCATCATAGCAGATGTTTTTATAATTTTTGATCCTCAGTTCTCCCCCACAATATTATGTGAAGGGTATGCCCAACTACACATGAAGAAAAAACAGAATTACCTTCTCCTTTAAAAAACTTACTGTTTGTATTACAAAATTAAATTCTTCTGGAAAATATTATTGATCTTTTGAGGGCTTAAATTTCAATCAAGCACTGAGAGATGCTCTGGTTACATAGCACGCATACTCACCTGAATCCTAAGCATAATTTACACTAAAGGCCTTAATTCTGAGGAGCTTACCGCAAACATGCCATGCCACAGCCCGGCATCCTTCTTAAAGTCTAAAACATTTACTACTGTCTCCCCTAAAATAGAAAAAATAGGAAAAAACATAAGGAAATCATCTTTAGTGTTAAGTAGCAAAGTCATGTCACTTACTTCTATTAAACAACTGATTTGGTACTTTTAAAGAAATTACTAAAAGCTCTCAGGATCTTCTGATTACTTGAGGGTCCCCTCAAACTGGCTGGGGAGCTGATCATAGGGTGATGTGGTGAAAGAAGAGACAACGAGTTTGAAATTCCTTATAACTTAGGCACTGTCTTCCAAGAGATAATATTTTCTCCCTAATTATATACAGAACATGTGTTTATTTTAGAAACTTTGGAAGTTTCACAAACACATGTAAAAAATTATACTTCCTAGAGAAAATTAAAAATGTTGCTGTGTACATATATCTGTATATTTTATCTATATATACACATATCTATTTTTAAGCATACTTATATACAGAAAGATATCTAACATAAAATTGTCATACACTGCTCTGTATCTAATTTGTTTCCACTTAACGATATATTGAAACAATTTCCCTATATCTTTAATATTCAAGAACATGAGTTTTAATGCCTCAGGGTATATAACCCATTATATGAATGTATTATAATTTAATCAATCCTTATTTTTTGGCATTTTTATTGCTTCCATTATATATATATAACATTATTTTATATATATATTACCAGGCAATAATGCTGCTCTATAGTGAAGATGTATTAACTTATTTCATTCTAGGAAAGGAAAATAAAACACTAAAAAAATTAATATTGTAAAGAATATTCTAAGGCAAATAGTTATTACACAATATATATCAACACATCTAAAGTTCAACAAAAGAGAATATACTTTTGTGTTTTAATTTGTGCTTTTTGGTAGGTGAATTTCTTTGACTCTAACTCCAAACGTACAGCTGGTGGCAGCTCCATATACACAGGAAGATGGAGACACTGATATTCCGCAGCTAATAAACACACGGTTTTAATTAGTTTTCTATTTCTGCACTCTAGAAATCATGCTGTACAGATTTGGTCTCCCCAGAATTTTAGTTCCTTTAAATTACAGCATATTTGTGAAAAAGAAGAAAGCAAAAGCAAGCCAAGAATGTGTCTTAGAACATTTCCCTCTGAATCTGGTCATTAACTGGAAGCCAATCACCAAGCACCCTGCTCGTCGTCCCGTATATCTGAGGCTCACAATGAGGGCAGTCATGGGATGAAGTCTGACCTTCAGAATAATTGCAGGCCTGGGACAGGGCTTGGCAGTGAGACAACATTGCAAGGCGGGACACTGTAACTCCCATCACACTCCCTTCTTTGCTTGTTTTATACTAGGGGGAAAAAACACAAAAAACAAAACATAAGAAACACAATAAAATGGGTTATTTCAAATAACAAAACTAGAATCCAAAAAAAAAACCTCAGATAAGCCATGATAATGGGCTGAATTTAACATTGTTTCATATGAATATTTGAGGCTATGCATTTGGGCCCCAAACTCTAATCACACAAAGATAGGATTGGGGAATGACAAAGCTCAACAAAAGCATGTGTGAAAAATTCTTAAAAGTTTAATTAGTCATCAGTGTGAAGTGGCTGCAAAAGAAGCTAAAACAAACACGAGACTTGAGCTGCATTAATAGAAGCACCGTATCAAAAACTCAGCACTGAAGAATCAAAGGTGCGAAAGACAGCGTCCCCGTGTGTCAGAAGCTCCCAATTTGGAAGAGGGAGACTAGAAATGACCCATTCATTCCCACAAATCAGTCAACTATAGTTTTGCTTTTACCTCAATGCTCCACTCAAGTTGCTTTTACCAAGCAACTTTTTCAATTGTTAAATCAAAAGGACACACCACATACTTTATTTTATCAGACCTTTCTGTAACATCTGACGCTTCCTTTCTTGACCCTTCTTCCCTGGCTTTTGTGATACTCCTCTCTCCTATTCCTTCTCTCTCTCCCCTCCACTTTCTCTGCCCATCTTTTAAATGTTGACATTCCCTGAAAGTTTTGTTCTTCTTCCTCTTCTCTTTTCACTTTATTCAATCAGGGTACCACATTCCTGATGACTCCTAATTCTCTATCTCCAACCCAGACCTCTTTCTAGACATCCAGATTCATAGAGTCAATTGTTCCCCTTGAATGACCCATAGTCCTGTGAAACGCAAAGTATCCAAGACTGTCTTCACCCCCACCCCTCACCCATGAAGACTCCTCTTGCTGTATTTTCTATCTTATTGAAAGATGGCGCCATCTGGATGCCCAAGTCAGAAACCTGAGAGTCTTTTTTGCCTCCTCGCTCTCCAGAGTCAGTCACGAAGTCCTGCCTCTTCTACTTCCTTAGTGTCTCTCAACTCCATCTGCTTTCTCTACCCCCATCACCATGAGCTTGGGCCCAACTGGATAACTGTAAAAGCTGGTCTCCCTCTTTCCCTTCTTAACTCAACCAAACCAGATAAATCTTTAAGAACATATTTATTCTTATCACCTTTTAAGAGCACCCTATTACCCACAGGATATTTTAAATTCACTAGCCTTGTCCTGTGGGTAATAAGAGGGTCCCAAGTGAAAATTACAAGTTAATTCAGAATAGCAGAAGCCTAGAAATGTAGAGGGTAATGGTTCTACATGAGGCCAGAGGGCTAAGAAGGGGCCATATAATGAAAGGCCCTTCACCTTTTAGGAAGAACTAATAAAGAAGATTGAAAAGGAGTGGTCAGTGAGGCAGGAGAACAGAGAGAGCAGTCAGGGAAGCCGGTGAGTAGTTTTAAGGAGGATGGAGTGATGACCCATGTCATCACTGAGAGATGATATGGACTGAGAGTTGATCGCTAAATTTGGTATTTTAATCGCCTATTTACTTGTCTGTCATTTAAACATACTCAAATCTCTTCCATCTTTCAAAGCAACCCTTGCATCCAACATTCCCAGATCACCTCTCAAAGCTACTGCCACTCTCTTTGATAGCCAAAGTAATCACCACAGGGCTCAAGGACATGTGGATTTTTTCCTCCAAACCTTTTTTAAAAAACTTTATTGATTTATTTATTCATTAATTTAGCAAACAGTTGGTGAGCATTTACTAATATGTCTCAAGCAGCATGCGGAGTAGTCAAGGGCATAGCTTTTAGAGTGAAACAGGTGTGAGTTGGAGTCCCAGCTCTCCCATTTTTGAGTCATATGACCTATGGTTGGTTGCTCAAGCTCATTTTTCTCATCTAAAAGCAGGTCTAATAACAGCCCCCACCTCACAGGGTACTTGTGAGGCTTGATTGAGATAATGCATTTAAAGCACTTACCCTGGGCTGGCCCTGTGGCTTAGCGGTTAAGTGTGCACGCTCTGCTACTGGCGGCCCGGGTTCGGATCCCGGGCGCGCACCGACGCACCGCTGCTCCGGCCATGCTGAGGCCGCGTCCCACATACAGCAACTAGAAGGATGTGCACCTATGACATACAACTATCTACTGGGGCTTTGGGGAAGGAAAAAAAGGAGGAGGTTTGGCAATAGATGTTAGCTCAGAGCTGGTCTTCCTCAGCAAAAAGAGGAGGATTAGCATGGATGTTAGCTCAGGGCTGATCTTCCTCACCAAAAAAAAAATAAATAAATAAAATGAAAATAAAGCACTTAGCCTCGGGGCCGGCCCGGTGGCATAGTGGTTAAGTTCGTGCGCTCTGCTTCAGCGGCCAGGGTTCACAGGTTTGGATCCTGGGTGCGGACATATGTACCGTTTATCAAGCCATGCTATGGCAAGCATCCCACATATAAAGTGGAGGAAATGGGCATGGACGTTAGCCCAGGGTCAATCTTCCTCACCAAAAAGAGGACAATTGGCAACAGATGTTAGTTCAGGGCTAATCTTCCTCACCAAAAAAATAAATAAATAAATATAAATAAAGCACTTAGCCTGGTGTCTGATATGCAGCAGGACTTAATCCCTCAACTGGATCATGTTATCAACCAATCAAGTTCCTACACTAACCTTCAATACCAAACCCTCTAGCCATTTGTTTCCTCTTGCTCTTTATCTTTTATCTGTTACAGTTGTTCTTTTCAAGCATAGCTGTCTTCCCTCCTCATTTCTCCCGTCTCTGGCTTCCCACTCAGCCCCCTCACAGCAGCAGAGAAATATCTCTGCCAGTAAATCACTTCTTAAACCTTTGTACTTCTCTAAGTCTTTCATAACTTTCTTACATGGCCAGGATCGATTTCTTTGCTGTCTTTCTCTTAAACGTGTATTTATGTTAAAAATAATTAGAATAGAAGGTCCACTACAAGGCATTTCACAGGCCAAAAGATGGAAATCTAACAAGCCAGGAGGAATTTCTAACATTAAAACTGCAAAACGTTAGTTTAAAATTTTGTAAGACAGCAGGTGAAGCCAAAGAAAAAGCCAGAATGTATGTTCTAGTCTCAGGACTTACCTCAATGTATGCTGGTTCTGTACCAGCAGGTGAGATGTGGGGCTGCCAGTCCTTAGGTGGCTTTGAAAGGTACTTGGAATCTGTTACAACCCATTTGAGCCGGGGCCAACCTAAATCAATCCCAAAATAAAAACTGAATTGCCTAAGCCATAAGGGAAGAAGTTCACACTGAATTGGTCATTTTAAATATCAAGAGACCAAATCAAGGTCACTTTATAATCAGTAAAATACTTTATTTTTATTAGTTTTTAGAGATAAGTCACCAGACAATTATACCTTCTTTCAAAAGTACAATCTTTCAACATGCTAATTCCAGACCTTGACATTACCTCAACAACTGGGAGGTCCATTTGGCAGTGGAAGTCCACTGAGGTTAGTGGTCTATCCTCTGTCTCTACATGTAGCATTTAGCTTTAGTGAACAGAGTGGTAGCTTTTTCCAACCATCAGCATAAAGGTTAAGGGTGTGGGCTGTGGAATCAGATTTGGGTTCAAATCGCTGCTCTGCCATTTATTAGCTGTGACTTTGGGCAAGTTACTTAACCTCTCTGTGTCTCAGTTTCCTCACCTGTAAAATGGGGATAATAATGGTACCTACTTCATAGGATTGTGAGAATTAAATAAGAAAATATATGTTAAGTACTTAGCTATTATTAAATTAAAACACGCAGCTTTAACTTTTAACTGATAATTCAGGTACAAATATTACTAACCTTTAAACTGTACAATTTCTCCATTCTGGGTTTTTGGCAGTCCCTTTAGACAAACTTCACTGGTAAGGGCTAAGGCAATACCACAGCTTCCTAGCAAGAAGCCAATCTGCTGCCCTCCAGCATCCTGCGGAGAAAAGATAATGAGCACGGTAGGGGAGCGAACGTGAGCAGACTCATGCCCAGAATCTAACACTTCGTAACTTCGTAACGCTCTGGCACTTGTGTGATAACATTCATGAAACCCTACTGATATCTGGCAATTGTCAAAATCCAGCGACAATATGTTCTTCCAAATACTTTCTACAATTCAATGATTTCCTGAGTTCAAATCAAATATTTTATTAATCCAACATTGCTAATGATGAATTCTACCAGCCAAATGTGACCATTTTATTCAAAGGTCAGCAATCCTCCTCTTTTAGATTAATTTCAGGCAGATGAAATAAATGCTAACATGGTCAAGTTGTCTTGATCTAACCAAAGCCCCAAATTCAAAAGCAAAGCAATTCAGGTCAGAACAAAATAAATAATGTAAATGGACACCAAATGTCCAAATTTACAATGAAAGTGAATGGACGGTTATACTCAAATCCATATACTCCTTACTATTCTATTTTAAAGGAGGTAGATTTAAGCCTTACAACAACAGCAGAGAAAACAACAAAAAAGATATAGTCTCAAGTATTTCCATTAAAATATCATCTTAAAAGTATCATTATGAAACCACACAAACACTGCCAACTTAATAACTTAAGAACAACCCTATGATTTTCTGACCAATCTAAAGATACTCTATCCCATCAACCAGAGTTTCAGTGATGTTAACAATTTGTTTTATATTCCTTTCAGAAAATAAATTTTTTCTTATAAATCCATAGTCTTCACCATATTCGTCTTTATCATCAACTCTCAATAATATAACCGCATGAGAAAATTAGGGTCAAACAGTTCATAGAGAAATCAGTTATACCTGGAAATTTGTTACATACACTTCATTTTAGTAGAGCTGATATGTTATCAAAATAAAATCCTATACCCTAGCATAGCAACGTGCCAGGACTTAATGGAAATCCTACATCGTATGATACAGTTAAAGGAAATCTCTTTACAAAAAGGTCTCACCTAGTAAATGTGGATTATCTATAGTCTCTGAAGCAAGAGTGGTACTCTTTATAAATGGTAATTGTTGAAAAGTCAATTATGCCCCATGATTTTTAAGTGATATATAATACTATAAAAATTCTACCTTAGTTGAAAACATGTTATTTTCACGAAACTTATAAATATTAATAAATAATTTGTCTACAACTTTCATGTTTTTAGAAAGTGAAGTTGAGTACTTAAGAAAATGATCAGACTGTTTCTAATGTCGTGACTGAGTCATTCAATCTAAGAACCTGACACCCACCATGTCACATCAGGCTACATTTCTCTTAAATTTAGCAATGTTACCTTTCTGGTAAGAGGTACCTCTATAGGCACTGGAATCACTTCTGCCAGGAGACATCCATAAAAAGCCACCATAAACATGACTGGATCATTGTTGGGGTAAACCAGGGCTACCTAAAATGCATAATGACATTCAATAACAGAGGAATAAAAACAGACTAACATGTTCAATGTCACTCTCAAAGATACACATTTGTTATGTATAACATTTATCATGAACACAATAAATCAAACTATTTAATAGCCCAAAGGAAATTAAGTTATTGAGAAGGATCTCTGTCGTCCCCATGATTATACTAGACACATTTTGGGAACTATACAATGCAATTCATCATCATCATAAGAATTTTTCACCAATTCTATTGGTGATTTAGCAGTAAACAACTCACCTTAAGTAGTAAGTTAATTAGTTGTGAAACCGAAGGCAATTTACTTTAGTGCAGGGCTAACATAGTAAAATAAATGTAATGGATCTCTCTAGATAGATCAGCATATTAAAGAATAAGCCTTACAACTCTCAGAGAGAATCTGCAAGCACTGATTGACTCGACTACCACCTTAGAGCCAACCTAAGGTTTCTTACCCTTTAACAAATTCATTGTATTAATCCTTACTCACTTAACCAACAAAGCAAGTATTCTAAGCATGAAGGCATTTGGTTATAGGTATAAGCAAAATGGCAGTAACCATTATGGATATAAAGTTAATTCATCTATGAAAGACAAACAGTGAAACTTCTATAATATGTTCAAACCTGTGATCTCAACCTGTAATGCATCACAGGGATAACTGACTTAATTTACTCAAGGAATGCAAAAACATAGAAGCCACTATTATTGTGGAGTCTGCTACTTGGCTTGGATATTCATAGATTAACATTTGAAACTTAATTATGTCACCAGACTCTTGTTTTCCCTTCTTTTGCTTTCAAATTCTCTTAACTCACTCTCAAGATAAGTTCAATTCTAAACCTTCTAGGGTTCCAAAAAAAACTAATTCCACAAGATATTTAAACAACCCATTCCTTTCCTGCACACAAGTGTCCACATTGCTAGGAAGACACAAAATTACCTTTCTGGGTTCAGTGAGGATTAGGAAACACCCATGCGTCACATTTCTAAGTGGAAGTCATCCTTTAGATGCCCTTTGCCACAATGCACAAGTATCTTTAAAAGGTTAGTTCAGGGGGCCGGCCTGGTGGCGTAGTGGTTAAGTTCGCGCGCTCTGCTTCAGCAGCCCGGGGCTCGCAGGTTCAGATCCCAGGCATGGACCTACACGCCACTTATCAAGCCATGCTGTGGCAGGTGTCCCACATGTAAAGTAGAGGAAGATGGGCACAGATGTTAGCCCAGGGCCAATCTTCCTCAGCAAAAAGAGGAGGATTGACAACGGATGTTAGCTCAGGGCTAATCTTCCTCACCAAAAAAAAAAAAAAAAAAAAAAGGCTAGTTTAGGAGATTCTGTAATCATAAGCCTACTAAAAAGAATTCTGTTGTGTAGTTGGTGTTTCATTCCACAAATTTCAAATGAAAAGGAATGTCTGATGGTAAGAAGTAATCATATTTAGAAAGTCATTAATAGGAAAAACTCCTCAAAAATTAAAAAAAATTTTTTTAATGTCATCTCCAATTAAAGAAGAAATTAAACAACGTCAATTTGTTTCTTCTTAGAAGTAACATGAGTCTCCCTCTCTTTCTACATAAAACCACAGAAAATTGTTTCAAAAGTTTTATTTTTTAAAGAAAAAAAAATCAGAGAGTAAACTTCACTGCTTTTTTGTTGTCTAAATATTGAAACATTTATTTCCAGAAAGACTTAGGTTTCTTTCTTTTTGTTAGCACTTCAAGAGTTTATTGATTAGCAGCTACAGGAAGGGACACATGAATTTCCTTCAATCTATGAATGCAGGAATTATCACCAGGCATTGGGCTAACCTGGATTGGAATCAAATCATTTTCATTTTCCAAGAACTAGACTTATATAAATTATGCTGTCGTACATTAAAAATCCAGAAGGTGCATATTAGAAAACAATAAACTATCACCTCCCTAAAACCAAAAAACCAATTACCCTGTCTCCAGGTTTTAATACAGGTTCATTTTTGGTCCCCAGTTTATTAAGCAGTGTGTAGGCCAGCTTTAAACTTCTGCTCCACAACTTTCCTGGAAAAAGAAAAGAAAATAGCCATATAGAAAAACACAGGTCTACCTCCGAGAGAAGGCCTTCAGCTCATCAGCACATTTAATAAGACAGTGGCCACTGCCAAATGACGCATAGACAAGCATCGACCCAACACACAAAGAGCCCCCTCCCACAAAACACTTTATATTCACTCTAGTTTAGGAAAGCCAGTCCCGCCTCCAAGCAAAAAGAAAACATCACCGGAAGCTCATTCTGGTTTAAATAGTATTTCAAAATCTTTTCTGAAGTAATCTGAGTATCTTTAGAAATAATTCAATGTGCGCTGATCACATTTAAAGGGAAGGAAAGAATTTTTTATCACAGGACTGAAAATCAGAGGACTACTTCTGTTATAAGCTTTTTCTGAAGAACCACTTACATATATGGTATGAGAGACGAAGTAACTACAAAGCAAAAGTATGACTCAAACGATTAAGCATTCCATACCACTGTACTTCAGTGAAAACAGACAGTAAAATGAAAATTAACTATGTGAAACGTGGATATAGTCATAGATGTTAAATAAACGTGTAAAGATTTGGCCAGCTGACTGTTTTCTGTAAGAGTTATATGGATGAAATTAATACACAGCTTCTGAAATGAACACTAAAAATTGTTCTAGGGGAAAAACCCTATTCTTTCCCCCTTCCTCCTCCCTCCCCCCCAACCACCCTTAGAAATTCTTATTTTAGATTATGAAGAAAGTGAAAGAGAAATCACGTTATTTTGAATAGATATGTTAGTTTTACATACAACGCATTCAGAGGGGCATCTAAGTTTTAAATTCATGTCAATCCGCAAAATTCCTTAAATAACTATTTGTCCTCTAAAATTATTCTATATCTAGGTCTATGGACAACATGCCCCACTTGTGAAGGGAAAAAGGAATCTGTTTGAATAAACTAGTACAAAATCTCACCTTCTTGTTATTTAAAAGAAAAAGAAAAATGAAGTTATTTTTAAAAGAGTTTATAAAAGAAAAGTAAGTTACTTTAAAAAGTTATTTTAAAAAGAAAAATAAAAACGTTAGCTGGGATGTAAAACTAAATGGAAAAGTACTGATTCTTTGATCATTATAGAATTTTGTGCCTATTATAAGCAAGAGGCAGGATGAAGTAAACGATAAAGATCTACAGAGTAATCATTTTCAATTTTTAGATAAAACTATCTGATTTTCACCATACACCATTAATGTTGCCCAAATGTCTTCCTAAAATCCTCCCCGTTAAAACATTAGTGGATCTACAAAGTCTCTTTCTTCTTTTTGCTCTTTTAAATATTAGCTGGATTGTAAATGTCACTTTAGCAAATGAAAATATTTGGCAAAAGATGTACTTAGAACTTAAAATTCTCTTCAATTTAAAAGAGCTATTGAAACACAATGACCAGCAACTACTAAATATCAAGATAAAAACACTCCCCATGATGATCTGAGGAATTATTAGGAGAAAAGGGAGGGGCTGGAGTCTGTCAACTCACCATATGTAAGAGTGTAAACTGGTTTCCCTGTCATGTCCAGTGCAGTCAGACAGGGGCATTTGGCTTGAGTGGTGCCCCAGCGCTGCAGGGCAGACTCAAGAGCAGGTGGCCAGTTACAGATGACTCCCAAGGGCTCTCCCTTCACAGGGGTCATCTGCCGTCCCTCAGGCTTGGGCTGGTTGGGGTCTGGTTGAGGTACTGTACCAAAAAAACCCCAATGGTTATGAAAATAAGATCTGAAATAAGTACAAGTACCAACTAACCACAGCTTAGGTCTCTAATCTCAAATACATTTCCTCTTTCTCTTCATCTTTGTCTGGTTTAAACTCACTCTGAGAAAAGAAAGGACGTCATTAGAAACGGTAATCCACAAACTGGGCTTTACTTCATTTCTCCATAATTGTAAAATCATATTTAATATATTTTATGCAATAAACAAATCCTGACCCTGACAAAGCAAATCACTGAACACACAGAAAAGCACAAAGTATAAATTTCCTTTAAGCCATTTTATAATTTTTAGTAAACTTGTTTTTAAACTAAAGAGTTTACGTCCAATGTTAGACAGCCAGGTTCCACTTCACCATGTTATGTTTAATAAAAAAGCACTGAACTGTTGAGTCAGAAAACTCAAGTTTACATTCACTTTTTACTAGTGTGACCTTAGGCAAACTGAGTTACCTGAGCCTCATTTTTCCTCATCTGTAAAATGGGGATGGTTACAGTTATACCACAGGGTCATTATTAGACTCAAACAGATAATGGGCATGAATGACAATGTTCCTTCCACGTCTCCATACCTTTGTACACATCTCATATTGCCAACCCCTTTGCTTCCTAATGAACTCATCCTCATCCTTCTCAGGATGCAGCTCAAACAGCACATTCCCTGGGAAGCTGTCTCCAACCATTCCTTTCTTAGCGCTCCCACACTATGTGGTGGTCCATCCTTATTAAAGCATTGAGAATTCTCAAGGGCTTCTATTACTACCGTACGAATTTTTTCCCCTTAAGACTAACAGCTTTTTTTTTTTTTTGACTGAGGAAGATTTGTCCTGAGCTAACATCTGTGCCAATCTTCCTCTATTTTGTATGTGAGCCGCCAACACAGCATGGCCTCTGATAAATAAGTGGTGTAGGTCCGTGCCCAGAAACTGAACCTAGGCTGCTGAAGTGGAGAGCGCCAAGCTTAACCACTAGGCCACTGGGGCTGGCCCGAGACTGACAGTTTTTGAGAGAAGGCATAGTTCTTATTCCTCTTACTGCCTACAGTCCTAATACACAACGGTTGCTCAATCAGTTTTAATTAAACTGAACTGAATTTGGGAGAGAAAAAAACACGCCAGATTATTAACATGGTATTACAGAAACTGGAGGTGAATAATATTTCATATTCTTTCATATAGATAAAACTCAAGTCCTCTTAATTTTTCTGTAATAAACAAGTATTATTCAAATAAAAAGCAAAAAAATCCTACATTTTCGTAGCAGCAAAGATAATTTACACATGGAACAAAAAGTCAAGTATTTACTGAGTGCCAATTACGTGCACAGGATGTGATAAACATTGAGAAAATAACCACTGCACATATCATTCCTTGAACAAACACGTATTGTTTGTAATGACGGGAGGTGCAAGCAGCACAGAGTCCACGGCCTCCAGGAGCACCTAGAGTGCAATGGGGACACACACTCATACACGGAGCTAAATACACACGAGCAGTGCATGACAGAAATACGTACAGAGAGGGCAGAAGAGAGCCACAGCACCCAGCTCAGGAGCTAGGGTACCCCACCTGGAGGAGGTAATGCCTGAGCTGAGTCTTAAAGGAAGGGTAGGAATCAGCCAGGTGAACAGAAGAGAGGAGAGCCATAGAAGGGAGAACAGACAGAATGAGCAACAAGCATTAGAAAGGGAAATGAAATACAAAATAAATTGTATTTTACTCTTCAATTTAATGACAGATTTGGGAAATTTACTTAAAATGTCTTAATTCATTTTCTACTGACATAAAACTAATGAAATAGTTTCACTTCCCAATTCACTGACCTAGGTAAAGAACATTTCAGCTGCCCTTCTACTTTGTATATTTCCAGACCCGAAACCACTAGATTAAGTAAAAAAAAACATGGTTAATTCTAACTTGTTTTTATGGGAAGACCGTATATATGGTAGGCATAGTCTAAGTAAAAAAAAAAAAAAAAAAAGGTTAATTCTAACTAGTTTTGTTTTTATGGGAAGACTGTATATATGGTAGGCATAGTCTTCTGGTCATAAAAGTCTGCACATTATTGCCATCCACTAGGCCTCAATGCAGACCCTAGGGCACATTCTTTCAGACTTCCAAACACATAGGGGTAATTTTCTTTTCTAAAGGCAATCATTATTCGAATAAACAATTGTTGCCTATTTACAATTAGTGGAAAGCTGTTAGCTCTATTCTGCCAAAGAAAATTGTTCAAGTATGATATCTATTAAACTTTGACCTTCATTTGCCTGGTCAATACACAGTGCTAAAAAGACTGGAGAGGCTATTACTGGCATGAGCATCTTGAACATCAGTGCATCAAGAAAGATGTCCATAGTTCAATGAGGTTAGTGACTCCTAAAGAAACAGAAATTCACCTTAATCTTGTACCTCAGGTTGCTTGTTGCTTCCTGCTGCATAAGTGGGCTAAGAGGGGATCTAGTCTACTAATGCGCCTCGTTCCATTAACAGGTCTGATGTGATCAAAGCCCAGTATTAGTCTCAGGATGTAAAAATGGAATACAAAGCACCAAGGCTTAGTTCTTTTGTTAGGTAGATATATCCGTCACCTAGCTTCAATAATTATCAAATGGCCACCCTCATTCCATCTCGACTCCCAAGCACTCCCCTCTCAATCCTTCCTATTAAATTCTAGACATCATATGATTTCATCCATAGATATTTTTTAAATTACTGAATGAATAAATCACTGACTGTTACCACTTCTTCTATGAAGCCTTCCTTAACCACAGAGATGGAAGTGATTTCCTCCCTTCTCTAAACTGTCTATATGAGTTGATACATACTTATCGGCAAAGCTCGGTTTTCATAAGTATTTAGTTTAGCACCAGTCTAAATTGTAAACAACATGAAGGAAGAAGGAAGTGACTGTATTTTCATGAACCTTTTTCACCATCCACCATGTTGTCTTGTAGAAGGCAGATACATATACACACATGCTGACTGGCTGATTTAATGAAAGGACTATGTTATATCAAAAAAGATGGGCCAACTTTTGAGATTGTATTCTAGGATACGACATCTCTATTCTAGGATAATGTCAAATATAAATAATTTTAAAAATTATGTATTTGGGAAAGTTCCTAATTTCAAAGAGCATATTTCCAAGGACAGTTCTATGCTCCATAGTTATCTCTTTCCCTCCCTCCTTATTTTCATCTGAGATTTAAAATATAAATGATCTTTAGGGAAAAAAGAGCAGACAACTATGAACTCTTTCAACCAAAAATGATGCCTTGTTCATCCTTAAATCCCACAGTACCTGACATGTAGTAATTGCTTAAGAAATGTTTAAGGAATATATGTTTTTGGTATTATTACTACTACCTTCCACAATTTCTTCAGAGTCATCCACAAAAAATTCTTTTAAGGGAGGCCTTTTGGGACGTTTCAGAGTGTTGAGAAGCTGCTGGATTTTTGTGGATACTCTGCTACTGACAGGAACACCTATAAAGGAAAAAATGGTAAGTCAAAATTAGTTGATTTTAGGGATATTTTAGTTCCTCAATTCTCTTAGGAGCTTTTATTTCTAATGATATTTGGGCTTTGCCCACAGTCTCATTCTATTTCAACTGGACCAAATAGGTACAAATACATACATAACAAGTTTTATGACAATAGAGAACAAATATGGCACTACTATTAATACAGTGCTTAAAGATTTCATCTAATCTTGTTCAATCTCTTCATCTAACCTTTCTCTTATAGCGTTCTTTTCTTTTTCCATACTTATTTTTTTGCTCAAAGCATCTTTTGAAAGTATAGACTGAGTATGAACAAGTGTCAGTGCTGCCACAGTGCCGACTGATGGACAGAGGGCGTTCAAGATGACTTATGTTAGTGGGTCCACCACGGTGTAGTTCTGTAACCGCTGGACCAGTCAGGTGTTACTGTTTATAATCTGAATTTTTCCAGTTTAACTAATATTCCCTTTTTAGCTACCCAAAAGAACTCCCTACCATCAGCTGTATCCATAAGGCTGGACCTGTTGGATCCTTTGTGCATGCCTTTAACTATTCCCGAGGGGGGCAGATCAATATTTGCTGGGCGTATTGAGGAAGATGATGATGAAGAAGAGGTAGTTGTAGTGACGTCAGGGGGAGCAGAGAAATTCTCTAAGAGGGGAGAAAACAAAGTTTAGAATTATATATTACATTAGCAGGAAAAGTAAGAACCTTCAAATCTTTTGTGGTTTTTAACAAGGAAAAAAACTACATAAATCAGGCATTAGCTCTTGTCAAACAACCTTTCAAATCCAAATCTACTAACAAGACATAATGAGAGAGCAAGAGGTTAAGCCAGGGCATATCAGCTTTCCAAAATTATTATTTTCAAGAACTTGGATAGCCTTAATAAGATCAAATCACATATCAAATGTTTCTCAAAAACATTCTTTTCTACACAGAAAGTCTCGTAGAAACCCAATGTTATAAAAATAATCATAATAAAATAAAAATTGCAAGTGACTTCAAAACGAAACCAAAGTGAGTATGATCACAATGGCTACTAATATTCTAGTCTCTTGAGCTTTTCTTCATGTTTATGTTGATTTATCCATAATGTTTCCTTTTCCACTGGAGACCGAAATTATGTCTTGGGAGTGGGTCAGATCACTCAAGTTCCCAGATGAAGAAAACCAGATAAAGTCCACTTCTAATTTTTATAAAATAACCCAGAGGCTACTTGGATCTCCTTGACAGACAAGGTTCTTCCCTTGTTCTAAGCGTGATGAAATAGTGTTATGGTACTCTGCTTCACGTAGGCATTCTTAATATACAGAAACTGAATGGTATAAGTTGGAAGAGAACCATTCAACAGGGATATGTTACAAAAAACTTAGAAGAAGAAAACATCTGGGGAAGTAAGAAAAAGAAAATTAGGAGAAGAAAAATATACAATTCACAAGAATAACGAAAAGCCACTCAAAACTAAAAAGGAAAAAATCATAATGTAAACAATTTCTAAAATCAATTTGGGAGTAAGGTCTGTATGCCCCTCAAGTCTCTAATTACTAGTTTAATAGTTTTTAAAGTTTTCAATATACTAGCACAAGCATATTGCAGTATGTCCTTTCTGTAGGATAAGGGGATAACAAAGCATTAAAAATAGACATTTTTATTTGACCCAGTAATTCCTATAGGAATACATCCTAAGGAAATAATCAGACAAATGCACACACGTTGTGTGTTCAAGGATGCTCATTCCGGCAGTTTTTATAAGAGTAAAAAACCAGATACTACTTAAATGTCCAATATAGGGGAACGGCCGAATAAACCTGGACACAACCATGCAGTGGCATATTTTGAAACTGTAAAAACAACAGTGTAATTCTATATTAATGATATAAAAGATGTTTGTGATACACTGCTAAGAGAAGGTTATGAACATTATATTTAGTACAATTTCATTTTTGTAAAAACAAAACCAAAACCCTATCCATTTATATGCAAATAAAGTCTTTAGAAGAATATACACTGAAGTGATAACACTAAAATGTTATCCACAGGAAGTAGGTTTATAAGTTATTTTATTTTTCTTTTATCTGTATTTTCAAATTTTTCTATTAGAAAAATGAATTACTTCTGTTAGAACCAACATCCAAAAGGCAATAATGTTGGATACAATGGTTTCTGTGAGTGCCTGAACAATGTTTCACAGAGTAGTAGAAGCAGTAGAAAAATATGAAGTCAGAGGAAATCATCTTGTTAACAAAAATGCAGATAAAGTTAACTGGGTATCAGGACAACATTTTTAACAAGTGAAACTGCTTTCTTTTAGACAAATGTAGGAGTAAACACCTGACCCAACCCTGGCTCTGTTGCTTACCCTCCAAATAGGAGAGGTGGTGAGCATGCGCCTCTGTAGTTGCTTTAGGGTGTTCAGTGAATTACAGGGCAGAGCTGTGCGTGCAGGACAAGCCACCAGCTGCCGGCACTTGGCTTTTTAATAAGGGCAATCATACCCTCAAGGTAGATATTTTCTTTAAAAATTACAGGTTGGAACTGAAAATTTTCTGAGTTTTTCTTTTCAGAAGTCAAGTGATACAATAAAGATATATGTAAGGTGATACAGAAAGGTCACTGATATGAAAATTAAGACAGCAAATATCACAGACACATGATGTTCACATACATCACTTAGTGCAATGTGCACCAACCAATTAAGCAAAAGCAGAGATCTGAGCTCTATCTTTATCTGCAGATGTCACAAACTCTTAAAACACACACACACACACACACACACACACACACACACACAGACAGACATAAAGCAGAGCCAAGCAAAAGCTACACTCCACACAGAAGCATCAGCAGCAGGTGGCAGCTCTCAGAGTACCAACATCCTCAGCCTGCACACTCCACATGTAGCAATAACACAGCAGCAAGGACAATAAATCCAGTCTTTATGCTAAAGACAACAAGGCCTCACTGATATTGTCTTAGTGCAGAATTTGCTTGGGTTTAATGTTTTTTGTTTGAGAGAATGTAGACAACAATCTTGGGAAAATCTAAGATGTTATATATTTTAACACCTTTTAACAGATGGAGTATTCTTCAATGGGGATAAACCCATGCTAAGACTGGTGTTATATCTTGCAGCTTGAGTATTGCTTATGGAAATAGCTATGGCTTCAGGTGGGCAATACTATGCACCAATAATGCAGATGGTACCTATCATTCCAAATGTACTCCTGGTGTTTCCTTATTGCTTCATTAACTGTCATGTTCTTTCTGATTCTATTTTTTAAAGCCACTCTAAAAAACCTAATACAAAGCATCAACTATTTCCTGGATACTAGGAGCCAAATGGAACATAATTTGGGCTTCTTGGGTAGATTCAGCTCCTACCTATTCGAGTATTGGCAAATACATCAGCTAGAGACCCAGTGGTTCCTTTGACCTCTCCATGGGACAGCGTGGAAGATGCAGATGAAGAAGTGGACGATCCCTGAATTGAACGGTTGATCCAGGACTCAGCATTCTGTAAGCTCTGTTGCAAGGCAGCAGAGAGCGCAGCTTGGCGTCTCAGAGAGCCCTCATCCTCGGAGGCTGAAGATGTGTCTGTGTGGAATTAGAAAAAAAGAAGTTCTGGATCCTGCCTAGAACAGAGACCTTTCAGTTCTTGCTCATTGATCACACATTCAATTTTGACAGCAGCAAAACATTCGCATTCTTAAGGTAGATTAATATGTAAAGTTTCTCAAGAATCTCAAGGAAACGTCTATGGACCAAAACCTGCAAAAATAAAACAGCTGAAATCTATAGGTAATTTTAAGTTCTTTTAAAAAAAAAAAACCCTTTTAGAACATTTAAACTTCATTCACTGTTTTTTTGTTCTGAGCTTAACTAGTATCTCAATTGTTCTGTGTTATCTACTTATGATCAAATAATACTGAAGTGCTTACATATCTTCTCAATCTCTTAATTAGAGAACCTTATGATAGGCTGCTATACTAATTTTGGCAAGTACTTATTAATTAGTGTCTACTTGAAAGGAAATGATCTTGATAGGGAAACATAAAAATTTATTTTTGTTAACAACAACTTAAGTGCCAAACAATGAGCTAGGTGCTAGGGAACTGATGCGGAATAAGAAACAGTGCTCAGCCTGGAGGCAGTCATGGTTTTAATGGAAAAGCCAGCTGCTCACAGGGCACAGGTAAGCTTTCCAAACATGAGAGGAGAGGGCACAGATCTGTATTTTTCTCCTTAATTCTCAGTCGGAGAAGAATTGTGAGAAATTCACTGATGTCTGTATTTAGCCTGGCTCTGACTTAGGAAAATAAGGCCTAAATTAGAAAAGCATGTTGAAAAAAAGAAAAGTTCAACCAAATATAGGATAGCCAAGGGAAGCAGAAGTCAAGAATTTATTCCAGGGCTCCAAGCTTATGAGGCATACAAGTTAAAGGCACATTTGGTCCGATGTGAGACAAACCTTTCTAAATGATCTTGGGGATTACAATTTATGGCCTGTGGACTGTATTTCATTCAATTTTTTTTAAATTAACTATTCTGGGGTTAGTCCTGCCAACACTTTCTTCTAACTCAGGTGAAACTGTAGGTCCATGTTCTACTTTGGTTCAGAAAGCCAGAGATAATAATTAACAGGGCCAGAACACTGCTAGTGCCAACAATGGAAATCTGAACTACAAAAGATGAATTTAATCTAGAAGTCAAATTCTGCAGGGCCAGAGTAAGAGAGAAAGTTGAAATAATGACTATATCCTTGCTTCCTACTCTGGACTACATCCAACTTATTATCTCATATTGAAGGAGATCTGAGGCCCAAGACTGATTGTTTTTGGTTTTTTTACAATGTACTACATAACTACAATATGTGCCGGGAACTGTCAGGTTCCGGGGATTCTGAGATGTGTGAGATCTTATGAGACAGTAAGTGCCCTAAAAGCTTACAGTCCAGTTTAGGAGACACACAACTCCACAGACTGTTTCACAAGAATACAACAGATGCTAAGAAACAGAGTAAGCAAAGGGTTTCACGCGAGAGGGGGCACCAATCTCAGCCCAGGATTTCAAGTACTTCTATGCAAATAGAGAAAAGACTTTGAGGAGGCACAGGGCAAAAGATGAGGCTGGAGAGGTAATGGTGACCAGACCCCAAAGGGGTAAAGTGATGAGGTTCTTTAAAGGGGAAAGAGATCTATAATGCAAAAGAAGGTGATCAAAGGAAAATATAGAGAAAGAAAAGTAACAGCATCTGTAACTTTTATTTAAGGCAAGTGTCTTGCATAATTTCCAGAGATTAACATTCCAACTGTACCATGAGAGGCAGCGATTTCTCTCTTTGCAAACACGCTAAATAAAAGGGGGGGGGCGGGGGGCAGCAGCATGGGACAGATGAATCTGACCCTAAGAATAAAATATTTTCAGGGTAACACATCACAGGATCCCACAAACTCCACTAGCTTTGCAGGCTGTCTTTATTGCATCATTTATTTTAATCTGAGTAAGTCTAAAATCAGAATAATCCAATTTTCAAAAGATAGTAAAACCAGTATTTTCATGATTAGGTTTATGGAAAATTGGCTTCATTATGTTTCTATATTGAATCAATTATGTAATTAGGTGTATTGTTTCAATTCAATTACTTCACTTGCCTGCCAGTCCTCAGAGTGTTTAGTGACTGCAACTGTGGGGCGGCTTAGTGTAGTGAAAGAAACATGGGTTTGGGTTCGTCTTCCATTTGAACTCTGGGGTCCAACACTTACTAGCTCTGTGACTTGGGGATAAAATTACCCATCTGAGAAGGCTGTCTGTTCATCCATTCAACAAATACTACTAAGCTCTACACTAGTTGGTAGGAATAAAATAGTGAGCAGGAACACATTCCCTACTTAATAGAACTTAAGAGTCTTATAGGAGTTCAAGGTAGGTGTGCAAAGAGTCAGACCTAAACCCAGGCTGGAAGGAGGAATTAGTTATGAGGGGCACAGAGGTGGGGAGCGAGGAGTCAGTAGAAGGAACAGCATGTGAGAAAGCGGGGAGGGGACAGACAACAAGGCACATTGGAAGATCAAAGAAATGAGACTATCTGAAGCACAATCGGTGATGATGAAAAATGAGGCTGGACAAGTGGACAGCACTGGGTTGCTAAGGGCCGCGTAGGACATGCTAAGAAAGCTCGCCTTCATGCTCACTGCAGCGGGAGACCACAAAACAAGACGATGTACAGAAAGCACCCCCAGCAGGGCCAGCACACAGCAGTCGGCCAATAAACATTATTCCCCTTCTCCTCCCCGAATCACACACCCTGTGTTACCTCACAGACACAAAACTGTGACCGGGCCAAGCTTAAAGCTGATCATGTGTTAAGATCACATAAAATATAAGCACTGCTATGGGACTAAGTAAAAACAAGCTCCCTTAAATATTTATACGTTTATTTGGTAGCTTCTTTTTTTTTAAGGCAACTGTCACCCAGGAAATTGCAATGGATTAGTGGAAATTTGGGCAAGATTAAATTAATAGTAATAGAAATAAAAGTTAATTCCCCACTGATTCTGCTCTGGTTGAACATTAACTCACAACTGTTACCTATGGTAACTAAAGTCCCTGCTAAGCTCTTCTGTATGATGAATACAATGGGTCTACACAACAGAAAACAATTTTGAAAACATGGTTTGCCCTTCAGTTTATAACTGATGTGATTTTAACACAGCATCATTTAATACTGATCACCAGAAGCCTAAAATCCATTTATAACCAATTAGGAAACATATAAACTATCAGCTTGTTGATTTTAAGGGAAGAAAAGTCCTAAATCTATTAACTGTTTTTAACTGTGGTAGCACTTTTAGACTTTAGCTATGTGGGGAAATGACTCCCCTCTTCTTGGTGGAAAATATACCTATTCTATCTAAAAACATTAAAAATTTAAACACCTACTAGATCCATTCCACTCCTGAGAAATGAAAGCATATATCTATACAAAGACTTGTACATGATTGTCCATAGGAACTTTATTTGTAATGGCTAAAAATGGGAAACAACCCAAATGCCCATCAACAATTAAAAGGATAAAGTAGTTATGGTACATCTATATGATGGAATAGTACTCAGCAATAAAAAGGAATGAACTACTGATACACACAACAACATGGATGAATCACAAAATAATTATATTGAGTGGAAGAAGCCAAATCTCTCCCTACCCCCACCCAAAAAAAGAAGTACAACTGTATGATTCTACTTATATAAAATTCTAGAAAATGCAAACTAATGTATAGTGACAGAAAACAGATCAGTGGTTACCTCCTGGGGATGGGGAGAGGTGGGATTACAAAGAGATTATGAGGAAACTTGGGAGGTGATGGATATGTTCATTATCTTCATTGTGGTGATGGTTTCATAGTTTTGCTATGTCAAAACTTAGCAAAGTATATACTTTAAATATGTGCTGTTTATTGTATGGCCATTATAATTCAATAAAGCTGTTAAAAAAAAAAAAACTAATTTAAAAAGAATTGTGGGGGTGAAAATGATGCCTTGGTGAGAGGATGGTAACACTGGAGAGTCAGTCTACACAGCCTGAGGGGTATTGTGCAAGTCTGGCAAGTGCCTGAAAAGACAGTGCCTGCCATTGGGTTCTGGCAGCTGACACCAAAATTAGGCCCAGATACCAGCTTAGAACAGCAGGTAAGGCAAGATCCACTGAAAGAAAGATCTCATCCTAACAACTAGTACAAAATATGCCACCTAAACTGGGCCAGGAAATGCGAACATCAAAGAATAAATCAGGGAAACAACCACCAGGACAGCGAGTGTGCGACATTCTGCAGCCCATGGAAGAAGTGTATATGTGTGTGTTTTGGCGGGGTAGGGTGGGAATGGGTGGTGTCAGGCAGGAAAGTGTCACTTTCTCTTGCATTAGTGGGTTAGGGGAATTAAAGACTTCCAGAAATACCTTCAAGAGAGGCAAAGGAAGTTTCTCTGTTGGCAAGGAAAAAGTTTGAAGCTTAAGAAGGAAAATGCTTAGAGACCCAAGAGGGGGCAGCCTAGCCGTAAAAGCACATATAGAAGAGAATATTAAAAGGTTAGTTCTGGAAGCAAGCCAATCTGAACCTACCTTGGGCTACAAATTCTGGGCAACTTAATCTAGCACTAAACCCAACCAGGGTGGGTACTGATTCACCAGACAAGCATTACAGAGACTTTCAGAACTACCCAAGAGACTCGCAGCATCCCACAATAATCCGTGTGCACAGAAAGCTGGCTGGGACTGAAATCACCATGCAGAGCCTAATTGGCAGGAGGTCCGTGAGCTGCCTGACCATCAACATCCAAACTGGGATACTTCTGAGAGAAGGGGCACGCACTATTAATAATTACTCCAGGGTCACTCTACCGACAAGCGATCTCCAAGCACTGTTTTTCTAGCTATTTTCCCACATCTATGAAAATTACAAAACTGATTAATATTACAAAGAATATTGGGGTGAGAAGAGAGATTTTTTTCACTTATTGCCTATTTGAAAAGTTGGAGCAAACACGCGGCAATTGTTAGAGCTCCAAATTACCAGAAAATATTTATTGACAATATG